GAACAATTAATCAGTGGAACAATCTGCTTCCAGAAGCTGTGAATGCTCCAACACTGGAAGTTTTTAAGAAGAGACTGGACAGCCATTTGTCTGAAATGGTATAAGGTTTCCTGCCTGAGAAGGGGGTTGGACTAGATGACCTCGAAGGTCCCTTCCAACTTTGTTGTTGTTGTTGTTATTTTTAATAAACTTTAAATGTTTTTAAATCATAAATCACATAATAGTTAACAGTGTGTTTGCTTGGTTTACATTTACGTATAAAGGAAAATAGTCAACGATTAATATCTATAATCCATAATCCACGTATTCACACAAATGTTTCTTTTTTCCCCCATTGATATTCTCTCTGATAGTTCACGTCATCAATATTCTTAATTTTCCCTTTAATATTTAAATATTTTCCCTTTAATCAGTATCATGCTTGATCAATCTGTTTCGCTAAATCGGAGCGTTTTCCCTCTATTTTTTCCCAATCAATCATACAATTTGTTCCAGATTTTGTAGTAATCTGTTTCACTCTTATCCTTAAGTTCTAACGTCAACCTATCAATTTCAGCACAGGATAAAACCTTATTTATTACCTCTTCTTCTGAGGGTGTCTCACTGTCTTTCCATCTCTGTGCAAAGACTAATCTTGCTGCTGTTAGCATGTGTAATAATAGGTATAGGGATCCTTTATTGTATCTATCTTTAGTGATACCCAGCAAAAAGAGTTCTGGTTTTAGCTCAATGTTCTGCATTAGTATCTCTTCTAACCACTGTTTTATTAAATGCCAAATTTTTTGTGCCTTTGAACATTCCCACCACATATGGTTATAAGTCCCTAGTGATTCTTTGCATTTCCAACATTTCGGTGAGGTCCTCCATTTTGGCTAATCTCACAGAGGGAAGGTGCCACCTATAAAACATCTTGTATAAATTTTCTTTGTAGGCAGAAGCTAATGTGAGCCTCCTATTCCTTTCCCATAAATCCTGCCAATTATCTAAGTCGATACCATAGCTGAAATTTTAACTCCAAATTAACATTGTGTCTTTTACTTGCTCTTCCAACATATCCCATTCCAATAAATATTGATATATCCTTTTTATCTCTTTTTCCTCCATTCCTAATAGAATTTTATCTAATTCTGTGTGCTCTAATTTTATTCCACATTCTTTTTTATCCTTCATATATCGTGATTGAATTTGAAGGTACGCCCACCATTCAAGTTCTATCTCTTCTTCTAATAACTTTTCCCTTGATTTTAATTCCCCTCCTTCGTCCAAGATGTCTTTATATTGATCGCCTTTCCTGATTTCATGAAATTTGGATGTATGAATATCTCCAATGTGGATACCCAATTAGGGATTTTCATGTAATTACATTTTTTAATTCTGACCCATACATCTAGTAGTGCCCATCTGATGTAATGTTTCTGGAAGTACTGGTGAGCCTTGTGCTTTCCTTCCCAAAGAATTCCGTGCCACCCTGTCTGCATAGCGTGGCCTTCTAAGGCTAATAATCTCCTATTTCTCAGATGTATACACTGCTTCGCCCAAGTAAGCATGGCTGCTTAATAATATTTTTCCCAATTGGGGAGGCCGAATCCACCTCTTTCCTTCGAATCCTGTAAAAGTTTGAATTTAATTCTCGGTTTTTCCCCTTGCCAGAAGCTGTGAATGCTCCAACATTGGAAGTTTTTAAGAAGAGACTGGACAGCCATTTGTCTGAAATAATAATAATAATAATAATAATAATAATAATAATAATAATAATAATAATAATAATAATAATAATAATAATAATAATAATAATAATAATAATAATAAAGTTGGAAGGGACCTTGGAGGTCATCTAGTCCAACCCCCTGCTCAGGCAGGAAACCCTATACCATTTCGGACAAATGGCTGTCCACTCTCTTCTTAAAAACCTCCAGTGTTGGAGCATTCACCGCTTCTGGAGGCAGGTTGTTCCACCGGTTAATTGTTCTAACTGTCAGGAAGTTTCTCCTTAGTTCTAGGTTGCTTCTCTCTTTGCTTAGTTTCCACCCGTTGCTTTTTGTCTTGCCTTCAGGCGCCTTGGAAAATAGCTTGACTCCCTCTTCTTTATGGCAACCCCTGAGATATTGGAACACTGCTATCATGTCCCTCCTCGTCCTTCTCTTCGTTAAACTAGACATACCCAATTCCAGCAACCGTTCCTTATATGCTTTAGCCTCCAGTCCCCTAATCATCTTTGTTGCTCTTCTCTGTACTTTTTCTAGAGTCTCAACATCTTTTTTACATCGCGGTGACCAAAACTGGATGCAGTATTCCAAGTATGGCCTTACCAAGGCATTGTAAAGTGGTATTAACACTTCACGTGATCTTGATTCTATCCCTCTGTTAATGCAGCCTAGCACTGTGTTGGCCTTTTTGGCAGCTGCAGCACACTGCTGGCTCATATTTAGGTGATTGTCCACTAGGGCTCCGAGGTCCCTCCCACAGTTACTACTATTGAGCAAGGTATCCCCTATACTATACCTGTACATTTGGTTTTTCTTGCCTAAATGTAGAACCTTGCTTTTTTCACCATTGAATTTCATTTTGTTAGATAGCGCCCAGTGTTCAAGTCTGTCCAGGTCCTCCTGTATCTTAAGCCTGTCTTCTGGAGTGTTGGCTATTCCTGCCAGTTTGGTGTCGTCTGCAAATTTGATGATTTCCCCATCTATCCCCTCGTCCAAATCGTTGATATAGATATTGAAGAGCACTGGGCCCAGAACAGAGCCCTGGGGCACCCCACTACACACTTCCCTCCATGTAGATGCGGTTCCATTGAGGACCACTCGCTGATTACGGCCAGTCAGCCAGCTACGGATCCATCTGGTGGTGATGCTGTCTACCCCACATTTTTCTATCTTGTCAAGTAGTAGATTGTGATCTACTTTATCAAATGCCTTACTGAAGTCCAAGTAAATTATGTCCACAGCATTCCTCTGATCCACTAAATACAGCAATGGTCAGGCAAGATCTGAAGAAAATTCACTGTGAAAAAACAATCTGAAGCAAGCCCCAGAACCCAGCCCCCAGTAGCCAGGCAACCAGAGTTCAATCATCAGCCAGAAAGATGTTTTGGGAAAGTCTCTGGTCCAGGTGCTGTGTTCCTCCTTCGTGCATTCCAAGCCTGGACAGTTGGCCTTGAAAAATGTTAAACAAGCCAGGCCTCCTCACCGCTTCACAGAAATTTCATTTCCACCTCCTGTACACTTCCTCCCCCCAAATACCCTGTGCTTCCCCTGCCCCCTGTTTCCATGGCAGCTGACAGCAAGCTTGAAAGAAAGGAAGATGCAGGCTGACATTTATATTCTTTTCTTTAAAAGGTTATGCATTTTAATATTAGATGGTTAGGGCTATGTAGTAAAAGCAGACTTATTCTCTAATTATGTGGTAATACTAGCTTTTAGTTTGCTTTAGTTACCTGAAGTAAGATAGAAACCGGGTGAAACTTTGCCATGAAGTTAGCCTATAGAGAGTGTAAGTTTGTGACTCTTAATTCTCAATTTAATCACAAGAATGTATTGATTGATTGATTTATATCTCATACTTTCAAAATACTATTCTGAAATTGATTTAACAAGGAAAAAAATTAAAAACAAAATTGAAAATGCTAAAACTTAAAAAATAAAGTCAAGGTTTTTTTAAAAAAACAATTAGACTAAAATTACGTAACTTAATATTTCAAAAATGGTTCTTAAATATTTATGTTTATTATGACATTTAAGAAATGTCTTTGTAGGATCTTAGAAATCTTCCCTGTAAAGGTTACTTTGAAATAAGTCTTTAGAGCGATGCCCCAGAGTATTACTGCACAGATCTATTTGAAGATACAGAGGAGGTGAAGAATTAAAATATAACTGATTTTAAAAAAAAATTAAGCTTGCATTGTGATTCTATATGCTGTTTATCTATAAATGTTATATTAAGAAATTTATCATTTGGACTTTTCTGATATCTATATTATACTAGTATGTGGGTATGACCTTGAGAAAGGAAGGGAAGAGCCCCAGCTGCATAATGGGTAGAGAAAGAAACTTAGAAAGGATCCGCCCAAATTTACCATCCTAATCAGGTGGTAAAAAGAGACAGTGGGAGATTTGCACTTTCAGATTTGCAAGATTTTATTAGTGTAGCCTTAGAATAAAGTAGGATTAGTTCATCTTGTTGTATTTCCTATCTGATCTACCTGGAAGTGCTGAGAATATAAATTGTAAGTAAATTGTAAGTAAAGGGAAAACAGCAGTAAGTTTAGCTGTAATTTATCCCATTTCCAAACTATGTTTAAAAGTTTGGGGTTATGAAACATAATTGCTTATTTCACATTGCTGAATTTCCCTAAAATGAGCATTTTATGAATTGCAGTGGCGATGGATTTGTTTAGGAATTTATCAGTTTTAGTACCTGAAATACTGTGGACTTTACTGATCTCAGTATTTTACAAGGCTTGATTGTTGTTTTTTGTCCTATGTTAACAGTTTCTATCTTCTCCATTCCATTATGACTGATGCTGTTCAACTTTACACAAGTTCAGGATGATCTTAAATTTTAAAAAGCTTTAAAAATCTTGCCAAGAAAACTGCTTGGACACATCAAACCAATCACCATTAGTCAAGATGTTAAAAAAAAATCTTACTAAATGTGGCATCTTTTGCCCTATGATCTCTTCATTTGCAAATAAGGCTGATCTTAGTTCAAATTTAATATTTTAAACCTAGTTCCATGAAATAGAATTATAATTACTATGCATAATGTGAAAGTTGGGGATAAAGAGTTTAAAAGTTAATATTTAAACAAATCCTTAACTGATTGTTATGATTACTTTTGCTAAAGGAAGATTTTCTGTATTGACTGTTGTTGTATAAAATGCCAGTTATATTATTCAGGATTAAAAAATGAGACACTGGATTAAATATTAAGGTATTTCCAACCTTCAGGAATTTCATGAAATTCTAAAGTTTTCTTTGTTTACATTTTCTAGGTGATTCATGGCAGGGGACGTGGAAGGATTTAATTCCTCCATCCATGACACCAGCGTCTCAGCTGGGTTCAGAACACTGTATGAGGAGGGATTACTGCTTGATGTCACTCTTGTCATTGAGGATCACCAATTTCAAGCTCATAAAGCACTTCTTGCCACCCAAAGCGATTACTTCAGGATTATGTTTACTGCTGATATGAGGGAACGAGATCAGGATAAAATCCACTTAAAAGGACTGACAGCAACAGGCTTTAGCCATGTTCTCCAGTTCATGTACTATGGAACTATTGAACTGAGCATGAGCACTGTTCATGAGATCCTGCAGGCTGCCATGTATGTTCAACTTATTGAAGTGGTGAAGTTCTGCTGCTCCTTTCTCTTAGCAAAAATATGTTTGGAAAATTGTGCAGAAATTATGAGACTTTTAGATGACTTTGGTGTAAACATTGAAGGAGTAAGAGAAAAACTGGATTCCTTTTTGTTAGAAAATTTTGTGCCTCTCATGGCCAGACCTGATTTTTTATCCTATCTCAGTTTTGAAAAGCTTATGACTTATTTGGATAATGATCATCTGAGCAGATTCCCAGAGATAGAACTCTATGAGGCTGTTCAGGCTTGGCTGCGGCATGATAGAAGACGCTGGAGACATACCGACACCATCATTCAGAATATCAGGTTTTGTTTGATGACACCATCCAGTGTTTTTGAAAAGGTTGGTGCATTTGAAAGCAGTAGATAGTGTTCATGTGTTTAGGGCAACATGGTATTCATAGGTAAAATAGCCAAAATTAGTTGAAGGGGAAATATAAGACTGTTTTAGAAAGCGGAACCTTGTAATTGTGTCTGAAATGAGTGTCGTTTTAATTTTAAAGTTTCCCAGTTACAAGCTAAAAGAATTTACAATCAGAAAACAGGTAGGTTTACAGCTTTTCTGATTATCAATCAAAGTGAAAACTATTCAGTAGTGAAAAGCCTACAAGACTGTTTATGATAATCAGAATCAGTGAAATCTGTGATTTGTGTATACTGATGTGTATTGACTTGGCACAGTTGTGGAAGTCTTATATATTTCAAAATAAAATACACTCCAAGGCAGGGGTGTCAAACTGCCGGCCCGCAAGCCGGACGTGTCACGAGGAAACCGCGCTCACCCCATTGCCAGCAATGGGGAAAAAGTTCCGATATGTCACGCGACATCGCGAGTTTGATATGTCTGCTCTAAGGTTTTAACTTCTAAAAATGAAAATTCAAAAATATAAGAGTGCACTAGAAAAAGAATCTCAGCTTTTATCTTTAGATGCTGAACTTGATTTATTAATCTGACATATATCCCATTTGTACAGGAGCTCAAGATGGGGTACATAGTGCTCCCTCCTTGGCTTTATTTGTTGGTTCCAACAGATTTGGTACAGGAACTGTAATTTAAAAAAAACCTAGGTACTGTTTTTATTTTGATTTTATAAAAAGAGATGTGAGGTACTAAGTTTTAGTTCTGTTTTCTGTTCTCTGATTGGGATATAAATTTAGGTTCCTCTTCCAGCATTGTTTTTTTTTTCAACTGCAGAGCAGTGGGCATTGTGGTAGATGTTCTCTACATTGATACAGATCTTTGAGGCTATGGTTGTTGGAGGGTAAGAAATAACGTGGATCAATTAGGAACTGGTTTATTGACCAGGTTTACTGATTAACATATGACTTTAGAAGTTGAGCACAGTTTGACTTTAGAAAGACTCTTTAAATTAGGCGACTATAAGAGTTTCCTCTTGGGCAGCACAGAGGCTTAGCGGTTAAGACACTGGGCTTGGCTGGAAAGTCGGCAGCCCAGGTTCAAGTTCTGAGCGCCAAGCAATGGGGTGAGTTCTCGTCCTCACCCCAGCTCCTGCCAACCTAGCAGTTCGAAAGCATGCAAATGCAAGTAGATAAATAGGTACACATTTCGATGGGAAGATAACTAACACTCCATAATATCCTGCTGGCCACATGACCACGGAAATGTCTTCGGACAGCGCTGGCTCAAAGGCCTTGAAGTGGAGATAAGCACTACCCTCTATAGTCAGCGACAACTATTGGAGTAAAATCCGCAGGGACTCTTTTATCTTTTATTACCTTCTATACTTACTTATGCATCAGAAGCATGTGTGGCCTGTAAGCAATGTTAACATCCTTCTTGGATAGGATACCTACCTTCCCCCGACCCCTAAATCTACATAAATAACAGCTTTTCTATAATTTCTAAATAAAAAAATCCCCAATAGTGTTATGGAAGAAAAACCTTCAAGAGATAGCTCATGTACTGCTGTGTTATCTAGAATTAGACTTTTTGACAACCTCAACGTATCAGTGTGGACTGGAAAATCTTGCCTGGAATATGTGAATCTCCCTTTTGATGACTAGAATAATATGTGATTAATTTTAAAAGGTGCTAGATCATTTATGACCTATTGGGTCATCATTTGAGAGAGATTTTCTTACCAAATTCCTCAATGTCTTCAGCAGTGCAGAGCTTCTAATGTATTGCATTCACTGGAAAAACTCTTAAAAATTCAGGGAGATATTCAGAGATGTATCTGTTTAAACAAAATGTTTTATGACATAGGTGTGGAGAAACCATGACTTTTATATATTGCTGGCCTATGACTTGGCCTATGACTTCAGAAATATTAGCATACCTGAACTGTTGAAAGAGCTAGCGTATCCAGAGAGCTGTAAGCTTCCATATTCCTGTAATAGATTTTATTAAAGCAAACTCTTCTTAAATATATCTTCTATTAATGCATCCTGTTATTTTACAGACAGTTTCAATACATAGAGCTTCTAAAATATCATGTAATCAAATATAAATTCTGTACAGGTAGTCCTTGACTTAAAATAGTTCATTTAGTGACCATTTGAAGTTATGATGGCACTGAAAAAAGTGACATGACCATTTATCACTTGATCGTTGCAGCATCCCCATTGTCTCACAATCAAAATTCAGATGCTTGGCAACTGACTCATATTTATGATAGTTGCAGTGTCCTGGGGTCACGTGATCACCTTTTGTGACCTTCTGATAAGCAAAGTCAATGGGGAAGCCAGATTAACAACTGTATTAGTAACTTAACACCTGCAGTGATTCACTTAACAACATGGCAAGAAAGGTTGTAAACTGGGGGCAAAATTCATTTAACAACTGACTCACATTGTAACAGAAATTTTGGGCTCAGTTATGGTCATAAGTCGAGGACAATCTGTACTTGCTGTTCAGCTGCCACTAATACACAAATATAATTTGTAAAATTGAAGTTATTTGTGAACTATAATAGTGTACTGTGAACTATAATAGTAAACTATAATAGTGTAAAGATGTGTCAACTGCCCAGTTTTCTCTTAACATCTATAAAATTATTGCACCTGTTAAAATATGCAACATACCAAAATCCATGTATATTTTGCTAAAGGTATGAGTTAGATGAAACCTAATTGACGTAGTTGACATTAAAAGCAAATTTTAGAGCAAAGGGAGTCTTTATTACTGTATTTTTATGTGTTTATATGTTAAGAAAACATACACACACACACACACACAATCTTCTTAGATTATGTATTTTGAGTTAAAAATGAAATAACTACATCCTAAGAGATCAAGCTAAGTAACCAACAGTATTACAAGTATATTTTCCAACATTTAACTATAATGCTACATATTGACTTTTTTAAAAAAAATAAATATTTAAAAATAAATATTATGATTGCTGTGTACTGTAATCATTGGTTACAAATATTTGAATTGATTAAAGCACTGAACTTTAATTTGTTTTCCATATATGATATTTGCTAATTGCATCATTCACTTTTAGATACTGTATTTATATCTGTTTCATCTTTTTGTATTCCATTTTATTTTTTTTCTTAGTGTATCCATTTGTATCCATATTGCTGTTCTTCATCTATCTGCAGTGTAGACTTAGCCTCATTTGTACAAGTAGTTCTCACTTAATGATTGCCCTGTTTAGTGAACATTCAAGATTATGACAGTGCTGAAAAATTAATTTTATGATTTATCCTTGCACTTACAACCTTTGCAGCATCTCTGCAGTCACATGATTGAGATTCAGGCACTTCATAACTAGTGGGTGTTTACAACTGTCACAGCATTTTACAATCACATGTCATCTATACACTTCACAGATGGCTTCTAACGAACAGAATGGAGAATTTCGCAGTAAAATTGCAAGTCTCAATCACATGATGTCTTACTTAATGACTGCATGTGACTTGCTTAATGACTGTGGTTGAAATGAGTTGATAAGCCAGTCAAGGTCACATGAAGTTTTGTTTAACAACCCCGTTACTTAACAATAGAATTGTGGCTCCCAATTATCGTAATTACGCAAGGATACTTGTAATAACTTTTTGTCCAGGGACGCTTTTTTTTTTCAAAATGCTTTTCTCTTTTATCCTATAAATTGTTAAGTAAAAGTAAAAGGTATCTTCATATGCATGTTTTGGGTAAAAAAGAGGAATAAGGTGATAATACTCAAGCTAATAGCTGGTACCATTTAACCCTAGAATGACAATAAAGGATTCTTAAACAAATAATGACAAATTAAAAGTTCCAGAAGTAATAAGGCCTTCACTGGCAAATTATAGAAGAAGGAAATGTTTTATGAAATGGGTACTGTTAAAAAAAAGGAACTTGGTGTGGACCAAACAAAACTCTTTTAAAGACTTAATACATAAACTAATTTTTCGTTTGCTTCTGTGTTCAGAATTCATGTTTTATGACTATAATAGGTAGCCTGTTCAAGCAAGACCCATGTTGTACACTAATCACTTTATTATAATGATTCAAAGTTTAATTAATATAAATATTTATGAAATGAAGGTCATTAATTGGTAAATAATCATTTTCATGGTGAAGACCAATAGAGATGAAACTTAAGAATACATTATGGATGTTTAGAAATAAAAGTGTTAAAACTAAGCTTTCCTTGTAACAATACCTTTTGAAATTAAGTTGTCATAAATATCAAATAGGTGTTTATTTCAAAATCTTTTATTTAATGTAATTTACAAAAAACATTTATCAACTAAAATATATTTCTAGGTTGATGGTCTCGATATGTTGATAAATAAGAAGATACGAGATAGAGAAGCACTCTTGCACAGAAAGGTGTGTTGTATTAAAAATCAATTCATGTAGGTTGAAAATGAGAGAGCATAATTCTCATTCATGTAATTGCTAGTAAATGGAGACTATACCCTATTTTTATATAGAAATTTATTTAATTTTAAAAATTTAAAAAATACAGATACTCCTCATTTAAGTATGGTAATTGGGATTGGCAACTCTGTCACTAAGTGACATGGTCATAAAGTGTGACATCATATGACCCTGCTGACTTATGATAGCAGTTGTGGTAGTTCCAGTTGTCATTGTTAGGTGAATCCCATGCGGTCACAGCATCCCAAAGTCATGCAATTGTTATTTGGCTTCCCATTGATGGAGGCTGAAGGTCACAAATGGCTATCATGCAACCATGGGATGCTGCAATGTAATTGCAAGACAGTTGCCAGGCACCTATAATCACATGACAAAAGGGATGCTGTGACAACCACAATTACGAGGAACAGTTGTAAATCCCATTCATTACCACTGTAATTTCAGATGGTCACTGAATGAAGACTGCCTGAATTTTGCAGGCCCTAATCAGTAACTATGTTGTTAAGTTAATGTAATATAATTGGAGAACTTGCCTCAGTGCTAGACTAGACATTAATATTCTATAAAAAGAGCTTTGGGGAAATCAGTATCGGTATAATAAGCGTGCTGCAGCTGCCAAAAAAGCCAACCCAGTGCTAGGCTGCATTAACAGAGAGATAGAATCAAGATCACATGAAGTGTTAATATTACTTGATAATGCCCTGGCAAGGCCACATTTGGAATACTGCATCCAGTTTTGGCCACCACGATGTAAAAAAGATGTTGAGACACTAGAAAGAGCGCAGAGAACAGCAACAAAGATGATCAGGGGACTGGAGGCTAAAACATATAAAGAAAGGTTGCTGGAATTAGATATGTCTAGTTTTCTGAAAAGAAGGACTGGGGTGACATGATAGCAATATCTCAGGGGTTGCCACAAAGAAGAGGGAATCAAGCTATTCTCCAAAGCACCTGAGGGCAGGACAAGAAGCAATGGATGGAAACTAATCAAGGAAAGAAGCAACCTAGAACTAAGAAGAAATTTCCTGACAGTTAGAACAATTAATCAATGGAACAACCTGCCTCCAGAAGTTGTGAATGCTCCAACACTGGAAGTTTTTAAGAAGAGATTGGACAACCATTTGTCTGAAATGGTATAGGGTTTCCTGTCTAGCAGGGGGTTGGACTAGAAGACCTCCAAGGTTCCTTCCAACTCTGTTATTCTATTCTATTCTATTCTATTCTATTCTATTCTATTCTGGAATTCATTATTGATGATGTTATATTATGTTGAACTGCATAAGTGAACTAGTAAACTACAAGTTTGCATTTGACTGATATGGTAATTTTTGTATTTTAGTTTAGGGCCTGATAACTTATGAATTAGAATTTAAAAGGCATGTTCAGAGGACTAGATATTTTAATTAGTTTCTTCTGTTGCACGTTTTTATGGCCTTGGAGAAATAGATATAAAATATAGAAAAATGGATTTACATATTTATTAAAGGTATTGGTATATTAAAGATATAAATGGTAGAAGGAGTTAATCATGAAGAAGGCCAATCTAAAAATGTTATTTTAAAAGATGCCTAAAAATCAGTATTGGGATCTGTCATACTGAAAATGAGTTCACTGTAGCCTATAACCATCCTCTATTGTACAATTGAGTAATTTTGTTGAAGAGCAGCAAAATGTGATACTGGTTGATCAGATTATTTAAAAGCTCTTCTGAGTTTTTATGATTTCAGCTAGTAAATCGTATTTGAAGTATTTGTTTCATGGTTTCCTTTAATTCGGGAAATTAACCAACTTATTTCTGAACAATTTTTCTGTAATATTTTCATACTATATACAATGCCATATATAGCCTACATACCTAAGAACTACCTCTCCCTAACAGTTGTTGCTCTTTGTCCCAAATAGGCTAGGTGTTATAGTGGGAAGGGTCCCAGCATGGGGTACTTTTTGTAGATCTGCCTCCTTTGAAATACTTTCAAATACTCTGATGCAAGGATAGCCCTCACATTCATGGACTTCTAGAAGCAAGTGAAAATACGTCTGTCCTTAAGTCCTGGGGTATAATTATAACCAGCAAATGTATAATTCAGTAAATAGAACATTACTTTTAGCATTAATTTGAGATTAATGACTACTATTTAAATTATATTGACTTAAATTGCATGTTATGTGGTAAGTTCTAGTATCTAGAATACCTAGAATCTGCCTACTTTCAGATGGTAGATGCATCTTGAAAATAAATATATGTATTTTGCTCTATCCTTAGGTGAAAACTTCAGAATTTTATCGTTATTCCAGACAGTTACGGCACGAAGTGGAGCAGGCTATGAATTACTTCCATTGTGTGCATCAACAGCCTTTGATGGAAATGAAATCAAATCGCATTCGTTCTGCCAAACCCCAGACTGCAGTATTTAGAGGAATGATAGGACACAGCATGGTAAATAGCAAAATCCTCCTCCTGCACAAGCCAAGGGTCTGGTGGGAGTTAGAAGGCCCACAAGTACCTTTGAGACCAGATTGCCTTGCTATTGTTAATAACTTTGTATTCTTATTGGGTGGGGAAGAGTTGGGGCCAGATGGTGAATTTCATGCTTCCTCCAAGGTGTTCCGATATGATCCAAGGCAAAACTCTTGGTTGCGAATGGCAGATATGTCTGTGCCACGGTCAGAATTTGCTGTTGGTGTTATTGGAAGATACATCTATGCAGTAGCTGGAAGAACAAGAGATGAGACATTTTATTCAACCGAACGATATGATATTACAGAAGATAAGTGGGAGTTTGTAGATCCTTATCCGGTCAATAAATATGGACATGAAGGAACTGTTCTTGGCAGCAAGTTGTACATCACTGGTGGAATAACATCGTCTTCTACATCCAAGCAGGTTTGTGTGTTTGATCCCAGTAAAGAAGGGACAGTGGAGCAGCGAACAAGGAGGACTCAAGTGGTGACTAATTGTTGGGAAAACAAATGCAAAATGAATTATGCAAGATGTTTTCACAAAATGCTTTCCTATAACGGCAAGCTTTATGTTTTTGGAGGTGTGTGTGTAATTCTGAGAGCCTCGTTTGAATCTCAAGGGTGCCCTTCTACAGAGGTTTACGATCCAGATACTGATCAATGGACAATTTTGGCTTCTATGCCAATTGGTAGAAGTGGCCATGGAGTGGCTGTTCTGGACAAGCAGATAATGGTTCTTGGAGGCCTTTGTTACAATGGTCACTACAGTGATTCAATTCTTACTTTTGACCCTGAAGATAATAAATGGAAAGAAGATGAATATCCGAGAATGCCCTGCAAACTTGACGGTTTACAAGTTTGTAGCCTACATTTTCCTGAGTATGTGCTAGAACATGTTAGACGTTGTAGTTAAAACAACAGACTTAAGAAGAAAGTATTCATGAGAAAAGCAGAGTAAAGTAGAGGGAAATAAAGCAAATTAAATGTCACTGACCTGTGTAATATACATCTTAATAAAGAAAAAAGTGTACAGGAATGCATTTACAAAGTTTATTAGGAATGCCAATAACTGCAGTTTCATAATGATTAATTTTTTTTACATATTATGAGAGAAGAGAAAATAAAAGATGTTCTTCCATTTTATTTGTTATAAAACCATGTAATAGACACACATGAACACATGTCTCTAAACAAAACTTTATGGTTCAGAAAATACTGGAACATACTGTTTTTGAAAGGTGGTTTAAAAGCAAATGTATTGTGCATTTAAATTTTTTAAACAGGTGAACATTTCGGCACCCTTACTAGAACATATTCTCTTCTAATAAGTGCAATGGTTTTTTTGTTTTAAGTACATAATTTGTTTTTTGGATACTTCTTTTTCACTTTTATGCCCCCTGAACAAATTTGACACATCATCTTTTGATATTGGTCACAATTTAAAATAGTTTTCTATTTTTTTATATGATTTTCCTTAGTTTTATGCAATAGTTCCAGTTAGTCTTGCTGAAAAATAAGTTTCTGAAAGTAACAGTTTTTTATGAAAATTCTAGACTGCCTTTGTTTTAATTGTGAAAAAAAATTTATGTATACAGTATGGTCAAAATAAAATGCATATTTTTATGTGCAGCTAAAATCTATTTTTAAAGTGCACAGATATCAGCCATATCTGTAGAATTTTAGCTGTGATGGTACCCTTTCATATATACATTCATTGGATAATTGAAAGCTTCATTGTCATTAATGTAATATATGTTTGGTATCTGCTGACTGATGGAATAATATTTGAAGTCCTTTTAATGCAAATAAGGAAGAAAGTGAAGAAAGTGTGTGTATTTTTTAAAGATTTTCCAAGTTTTATCATATTAGTGCTTTGTCCCGAAGATATACATAATGTCTATAATAAGCATAAAATCTGCTATGAGCAGATAGTTTTCTCCAGGTATTACCAGCTATTGACAAAACCATTTCCTTGCACTGATTAAGCTATTATACTTAAAAACAGAGATTTGACTGACTCAGCATTATTTCAGCAAACTTGAAAATATTACTGGCTTCACTATTTCTAAATAAGGTGGATGGCCAGCACAGGGATCCTGTATCCCTTGAAATTTTGTTGAACTACAACACCCAACCTCAGTCAACAAGGCCAGTTGTAGTTGGCAAAATTTGGACTTCCCATCTCTGGACAATAGGATATTGTTAAAAGCACTCCATAAATCTGTAGATGCATGTCTGAAAATGAATGATATCCCTCAATCTGAATAGAACCTTGGATTGATAATGAGCTTTCTTTATCTCTTTAAAGTAATTTGGAAATGTGAAAAATAATACTTGACAATTTGAAACTTGCTGACTCGAGGCAGACTGCTGAAATGGTTTCATGAGACTCAAATGGTCATGTAAAACATAAAGATATAAACTGCACAATTTTATTTCAGCACTTGGGGAACCTCTATACAACAACATGCTATATTCTTGGAGTTTAAAATTATGCATGTGATAAGTTCCCAATCTGTATTGTGTTAAACAGCAACATACTTGACTGAAGCAAATGAGGCTCTAATGTTTATATAATTGTGTTCTTTCCAAGCTTTTCTCTCTGAAAGATAAATTTATGGGGCAATATTACTTTGTGATTATCTCAAAGATCACAAGTATAAATTACCCATGTAATAATATGCTATGTTTACTGAGGTCATGTTATATTAAAAAAGGTAGACCAAATTTTCTCATTAGTTTCTTGTACACAGACAATAGTTGAATGTTCATAAATTTTATGTTTCTGAAAAAAGCATCTTATTAGCACAAATTCAAATGCACATTAAACCAAAAGTGATCCTCTTGTTTGTGTAACTTATGTTTACTTCTTTTAATATAGACATTTACAGTTACTAACCTTATTAAGATGCAACCAAAGCTTCATTCTGTAATTGACAACATAATAAGATAAACAGAATTTATGTGATAGGGAAAATGTAATGCCAGAAGTCAACAGTTTAAGAGCAAAACAACCCTGCTTGGATTCAGTTTTGAAGGCATATTGGTATATATCGCCAGTAATTCCTGAATGAATAAAATAATTCTGATCTTTTATTCATAAAATAAAAGCATACTAATGTGTATATACACACATTCATTCGTTATTTCTATTTTGCTATAGACCTATTCATTTTTTATTAGTATATAGAATATAGCATATAAAGAGGGGGAAATTGTAAATGAGTTTAATCCACAGCATGTTTCAAAATGTGATGTATAACTTCTCACATCCCATTTTAAGAACTTATGTTGCCAGAGGAACATAATCTAAGTTTCTCAAAATAAGTACAGTTTTTTAGTAACTTCTTGAATTTTGCTCACCATAAAATTTACTTTTATTTTATTTAGTCTATTCATTTGACTAAAATTAACTAATTCTAGAAGTGTTTGTGATAGCAGGATAAGATCAGATAAAAATGGAAGTGATTTTTTCCCCAAGTACATTAAAGAGCTACTTTTGTATCATGTTAATTATTACATGTATGAAGAGCAGAGAACCTTAAGCACTTACTGTTGCTGCTTCATTATGGTTGCTATGAGATCAAAGACTTGGCTGTAAGAAAATGAGAGTTTTTGATTACATCTAACTTGGGGGAAATCATTAGGTTAGGCTTAAGCGATGGCTTACCTGCCTGGCTTTTAAGTAATCTCAAAGGGCTTCTAAGGCCAAGGTCTTCACTGCTTATATATAAAATATTTTTTATAAAATATACCAACATGTGTCTACCCATGCAGAGTTGATAAATTAAAGGCATTTTTACTCTTAAGAATGCTTTTAAAACAGGAATCCTCCATATCCAAGTTATATGCTATGTGGCCTGATCAATACCTAAATCATCTTGGGTATCATATAGAAGAAGAGTTTTAAAAAATAATTTACCACTGAGACAATAGCAAAGTTATGAAATATATTAATAGATATTTTATGAATTGCTTTCTTAATTATAGTAAGTTATCTGAAAAGGCACATTAAATGAAATGAAGTGGAACTATGGTGCTTGTGCTTTTTATTTAATTTCTCATCCATTGTAATACAAGAGCCTGGTTGTTTGCATATTTAATGGAAAGTTAGCTTAAATGAGTTACTGAGCTGATACTTAAAGTTAGCCTATGTAGGATGTCAGCCTTAAGTTTTTCAAACCTGCTGTTACATACACTGGATAAAAATACAACTTATTTATTTTAACATGAATGTTGATTTTGTTTCTTTGATTAAAAGGCAAATATTCTTCAACTTATAAATGTCAGATGATTTCTAACCTATTATGTATCTTCATTTGGTTCATGATAATATTCTAAATTGTACTTTCTTGAAATTCCTATGCATATGAAAATAACTTAAGGTTACAAGAGAAAAGAATGTAAGAATGTAGCAAGTTCAGCAATTATTCATCCTTTTGGTATTAAGAATTGTAGTTCTTTGGTATTTTTCCATGTCTGTCACAACTATAATTTCTTTATTTAAATGTATTTAAAACATAGCTACTCAACCTATACTGAACTTTGAGCAATTTCCATATTGTTGATTCCTATGCTCTCCTAAAAAGCTCACTATTTAGTTTAAACCATTTTCATTTCAAGAATAATTAAAATGCCAACTTTAGTGCCAAATTGGAAGAGGAAGGAAACAAGAACACTTTTAGAGGATTTAAACATAATGCACTAGACCAGGGGTGTCAAACTGCCGGCCCGCAGGCTGGATGCATCATAGCAATACCGCGCCCATCCCATTGCTGGCAATGGCAAAAAAGTCGTGATATGTCGCGACACGTCACATGACGTTGTGAGTTTGACACCCTTGCACTAGACTAAGGCCTGTTCATTTCATTTGGGAGTCTGTATATATATAAAAAAACACTTGGCAGTGTTAGAAGAAAAAAAACCTGTTTATTCTTAAGAAGAAATGGCTCTCCAAAAACTCTAGTGTCTTGCAGCAATTAATGAATGTTTACATGTGTTTTATAAATTATTTTTTAAAACAAATTACTCTAGAAAGCCTATTCTTAAATTTTATCTTATGGTGTGTTTACGTTGATACAATTTACTTGTGAATAGTATTTCCTATACTATTTAGTGGAGAAAAGTAGTACAAGTAAAATGGGAATACCACATGAAAAAAATCAGACACCAAATAAACACTTTAAGCATGATTTGTATGTTCATTTCTTATATTAAGTTAATCAGTACTAGAAGAAAGGTGGTCACATGTAAAACTATAACAACCACTAGGCTAACCTCGTAGAGTCCATCACTGCTCATTTTTATTGTTATAAAGTGGTTGAATTAAAATTCTGAATTTTCTTATCATATAAGCTACTGATATTCTGAAGTAATGGAATTAAAGAATAAAATTCCATTTCTAAAGTGAGAATATTTATACATAATTCAAGAATATCTCTTAGTATCAGTATAAACAAGAAATAAGGGCCAATACCTGAAAACAAAACTTGCTTAAAGTTCCATAACCAGAAAATGCTTTCTCTCAATTTTATGGCATCGTAGCATTACAAGATTTATTCAACTTTTGAAAGAAAAAAAAAGGGACAAACATTTGAATAAAAATCAGGACTACTTATTCTGAATTAAATTAATAAATCTTGATTAGGATTAAATTTCATATGTGTTTTATAAAGGGAATTTCAAACACTAGACCAAATTTTGAGAATATATTAGTAACAATAGTTGGAGATGTTGCTGTTGCAGGATGGTTATGCATAAGCCAATGCTGCTTTTCAACGTATCTAATAAATGTTTGCATGTTAATTTCAGTTACCTTTGAATTGTGCTATAATAAATTGGAATACTTTATTCAAATATGCACTGTGCATTCTAATAATTACCTGAAGCAGTTGTGAAACTGCAATCTTTTAATATTCTTAAAAACATTTTTATTTCTTTGTAAACGTTAATCTGACTCATCCTGTGAATGCATTATGTTCAGTCATGCATATGTACTGTTTTTAAGCAAGGTGTAAAATTTGTATATAAATAAGAATGTAAATAAAATATTTTTAATTTTCATTATAGTTTTTCTATTATTTTTGTTCCTCTTCCATTATTAAGTCTAATGTTTCACATTGTTAAAGTCATATATATAGGCTTACTTGTGAAAGTATTTAGCTAAGCCAAAATGCAAATAGAACAGTTTGGATCAAATGTACAGTATCGGTGGTACCTTGTTCAATAGTAGTAACTGTGAGAGGGACCTTGGAGTCTAAGTGGACAATCACTTAAATATGAGCCAGCACTGTGCTGCAGGTGCCAAAAAAGCCAACACAGTGCTAGGCTGCATTAACAGAGGGATAGAATCAAGATCACGTGAAGTATTAATACCACTTTTCAATGCCTTGGTAAGGCCACACTTGGAATACTGCATCCAGTTTTGGTCACCATGATGTAAAAAAGATGTTGAGACTCTAGAAAGAGTACAGAGAAGAGCAACAAAGATGATTAGGGGACTGGAGGCTAAAACATAAGGAATGGTTGCTGGAATTGGGTATGTCTAGTTTAATGAAGAGAAGGATGAGGGGGGACATGATAGCAGTGTTCCAATATCTCAGAGGCTGCCACAAAGAAGAAGGAGTCATGCTATTCAAAGCCCCTGAAGGCAGGACAAGAAGCAACGGATGGAAACAAATCAAGGAGAGAACCAACCTAGAACTAAGGAGAAACGTCCTGACAGAACAATTAACCAGTGGAACAACCTGCCTCCAGAAGTATTGAATGCTCAAACACTGGAAGTTTTTAAGAAGAGAATGGAGAGCCATTTGTCCAAAATGGTATAGGGTTTCCTGTCTGAGCAGGGGGTTGGACTAGATGACCTCCAAGGTCCCTTCCAACTATTATTATGGATCATCGCACAGTCAGCCAGATGTTTAGACTGGATTTGGCATTTTGTCTACCTACTGAGTCCTTACCAAGGACCTGGGATAAGCAGATGTGGATGTTTGATGGTATTACAGATATTGTTGCAGGATAGAAGCAGTTCCTAGTAAGGCCGCCTTTTGCAATTGACTAATGGCGAATTTGTCAATCCCAATGGTATTCAAGTGGTGCTCCAGTTGTTTTGGGATTGCACCCAAGGCGCCTATTACTATTGGTACTACCCTTGCTTGCTTTTGCCACAGTCTTTCTATTTCTATTTGTAGGTCTTTGTATTTTGTTATCTTCTCCAGTTCTTTCTCCAGCACTGAGATGGAGACTCCACCATTGGGTAGTAGACTGTATTCCTGCCCAATCAGATCAAGTCAGCCAAAGTTGCCACGCCCGTCCTGGACCGTTGATCTCCAGTCTTTGACTTGATCTTGCCCAGGACAGACGTTGCAAGTTTGGCTCTAGGCAGGTACAGTCATTGGTGGATCTCCATTCCCCTTCCAATTTAAAATCTTAAAAAATTCATCTGTGCTTGCACTTAATTCGGTATCTTCATCTCCCATCAGCGATCCCTGTGAGTATTTACAAGGAGACTAACGGCTGTTAGTCTCACAGCCCATTATTCAAATTAGGATTGGGCCTGCAGGGAATCGAACGGGTCTGCTCCTCTCCCCGACAGGAGGCCAACGGCTGTTGGACTCAGATCACCTCAAGCCTAACGGAGCTTGCGGCTGCGGCTCCGTAGGTTGGTTTAACGGGAAGAGACAGGCCCCGGGAGGCAATTTCCTTTCGATCGATCCAGCCTCACTCCGTCAGGAAGACATCGGCTGTTGTCTTCCTCAGATTCAAGCCTTCACGGAGCCCGCGGCTGCGGCTGTTGACTCGGGCGCGTTTCGCGCCGGGCAAAAGGGGGGGAGGTCCCTGGATTGACTTCGGCGCCGTTTTCCTTCACGGGGCTGCGGCTGCAGTCCCCTTGGAGCGATCGTTGTGAGTTTTTTCCAAATTTGCTATATTTCGATCGCGGAGGTGCGCGCGCGTGCGTGCTTGGCCTCCACTACGATCGGCGGTTTCGGCGGCTATAGGGGACTGAGTTAAAGTTTATTTCCCCCCGATTCCTCCATTCTTGCTGATCGGCGTGCGAGACCCCTCAGAGTGCGCGGGGGGGGTGGAAACAGTTCCCCGGCCCTGCCTGTGTCTGAGACGCCATTTTGAGCCTCGTGGGCCTTGCATAGGCCGCGGCGGCCATTTTGAGACCTCAATTCTTTAAAAAACATTTTTTTGAATTACTTATTCAGTGAAAGGAATTAATTTAATTTGGGCGCTGGTACAGTTTCCAATTGGCAAACGAGTTCTCCCTTTCTGCCAAGGGTGGTCATACTGGGTTGCCATATTTCGGTAGGGAGGTAGGCCGCCATTTTGGTAAGGCCGCCATTTTGTGTTCTCCATTTCTGCATATAGAGGCAGATCCCTTACTTATCCTTTGGAAATTTGGTGTCTCCTGGTCCTCATTTGGAATTGGTTAATTGGCTCAGATTAATTGGCACTGTACTGGGATTCCAGACTCCCCATCAGCGTGTCTGTTCTTATCCACAGTATTTTCAGTACGAATTCCAGGCTCCCCTTATAGAGTGTCTGTCCTTATTCGTACTTAGTTTCTCCCTTGGATTCCAGGTGCCCCAGGAGTGTACCTGTCCTTATCCAACTGGGATTATACCTGGGTTCCAGGCGTCCCTGCAGTCCGTCTGTCCTTACCCAGAGTTTGGCATTTTCCTGATAACAGAAACCCCCTATTGTGTTTCAAGGTTATAGGAAAATGGAGGAAACTTCTCTTTCCTCAAT